GAAAAAACAAAAGTATCACTAGAACAAAATATATAAGTATCAGAAAACAAATTATATGAAAATGAAACACCAGCTAGTACAAGAATTCTATTATACAATGTCTTAGATAAAACAAAAAAAGAAAGAATTAGCATAATCAAATAAGTGTTAAATATAAACAAATATATTATAAATATAGAAGAAGTATATATAAAAGACAACAATTGAATAAAAATACAGTTTGATTGTAAAAAAGAAAGAAAAAAAGTAATAGACTAGCTAAATCAGAAATATAAAGAATAGTTCAGAATAATACTAGATGAGCCAGAAAATACAAAAAAAGATAAAAGAAATAATAAAGAAATAAAAAGAATAAAGAAATAAGAAAACAAAAAAAAAAAAAAAAGAAAAAAGTGTGGGTCCTATAGCTTAGCAGTTAAGCTCACATACTCTTTACAGTCAAGGTCAATGGTTCAAGTCTGGCTGGAGGCAAAATTGAAAAGATTTTAGTTTCTGTAATCTAATAAGAAGCCTATAATTGAATATGAAGCCTTGTAGTTAAGTCCAAGTGCAATACAATAATGGAAATAGGAATTTTCAGAAGGAGACCCAATTATGGAGTGCAGGCACTATATATAACAAGCAGTTGTTACAGAAGGGTATGGTTATGAAAAGATTGCACATGTAAGTCCTTTAGACTAGAGCAGTACTAACATCCTTATACCTCCTAATATAGGCAGTACCAACATTCCTGCATCTAACTTGTGAGGTACTTGATTGAAAGGATAATCAACAGATTGTGCAAATAAGTCTTAATTAGGATTCAAGAAGAGAATTTAATTAGGAAAATATTCTGAAAATAACCAAGACTGAAATGATAAAAGAAGCAGTGAACATGAGAACAAACTATGATAAAGAATTAGTTTAATCAAAAATTGAAAGCACCTCTGGCATAGCTAAATAATTTAATTATAGAAGAAAAAAATCTTGGAGATTGGCATATAATCTTTTTGTGCAATATAAAAGTACCAAATTGGATTTCTGATTATATTTATATAGAAGTCTATGACAAACAAGACTGAGATTAACCAACTAATATAAGATAAGATCTGCAAGGTAGTATGGTATCATTGGGGTCAGTATAACTTTCTGGGGTATAACTAGAATTGTCCTGCAGGTATTATTGAATAAGCTAGGAGCTTACTATATATAGTAGTATAGTATCACTAAGGTCGAAGGAACTCTCTAGATATAACCAGAATTGTTTTGTTTGTAAGTATAACAAGTCTTAGTTCTCATCATAGAAGAGAGCACCATGTTGGAGATTAAATGCAACATCGAGTTACTGTATGATGTTAAGAACTTAGGCATCTGCAGGAATGGTAGCAGCAGACCTGGTTTAAGATATGAATTGATCAAAAAACCAATAGCAGCAGCAGATCTGACTTGAGATACAGGTTCTTTGTAGATCTTGGACTATTGTCAAAACATCTTAGAGGAATCAATAACAGGCATACCAAAAATAGGAAGATCATAAGGATCAAACATACCTAAGTAAAACCAATTTAAGAGTGATACAGTAACAAAAAGATAAGAAATATGAGGAACAAGGTAATACTAGATATAGTTAGATTAAGAAGCAGAAGAAACAAGACTAGATAAAATATGTAAGTGAAACATATGGATACAATTTATAGAAGACAGTATCCCTGGCATTTGGAATATCATATTAAGTTCAATAGGTATCCTTGTCTGTGTAGCAGTTTAATGATGTGCCCTGACTGCATGTAGTTATTAAAATAACTGCGTGCAGGCATGCAGCAGACATGCACTTACCGTAAATGGCCATATAAATGACCCAGATATGTTACATTCTACCAATCAAAAAACTTGAATTATACCTGAAGGGTATATTGTTTAGAGAGGGGGTACGATAATTGGGGAGGTACAATAATCAGGGAGTATGATAATCAGGGGTCATTGTTTGGAGAGTATATAAAGAAATCTTGTAGATGAACTACCAATAGTAGTGATAATCTATTTAATGATATTACTGGTTAATATATTACACGAATACATAATCTGTGATTAGTAATAATAATATCTTGAGTTGTTGGATATTAGTGGATTAATCTCAGACAGTAATAACGAAAATACATAACTGTCTGAGATCAATCCACTAATTACACAGTGACCTAAGATATTATTAATTAATACCCTGACCTCTTACATGAAAAAAATACATCATTAGCTCGTACATTTAAGCTTATATGGAATGATATTAATTTGATAATTCAATTTTCTTTTCTCTTTTAATACAAAAATAAAATAAAAATGAACCATTCTTTTATAAAAGCTTCTGATTTTAAACTGTTATGTAGGCCATGATAAGTTTTCCAGTTTTATGAAGGAAGCTTGTTTCATTACAGGTATTAATTGTGCTAATAGGAGGATTGTAAACCATTCCCTTTACAAACATACAGCTAATAATGGAAAAAATGTGCATTTTAAAATAACATGCACATAAATATGCATTAATGCACACGAAATGTTTCATGCACATGATATCGCATGATAAAAAAGGCAAAAAAAAAGAAAAAATGATCAAGAGAAGAGAAATCTTGATGGGATAAAATGCACATGAAACAGATGAATGTGCATTAATACACATGTTTCTGCAATCATGTGCATGCATGAAACCCATCTCTACATATAGCTCAAAAATTGAATAACACCAATGTAGATATTTAGGTTGAAATGGGTATTACCAAATATTGCACAATAGAGGCATACAATATGTATAGGTTACAAAATGAGCAGAATTAATAATAAATACAAAAATACAAAAATAATTAGAATCAATTCAATCATTCGAAATCAATTAAGATTCTATTTACTCCTTTATTTATTCTATAAACAATTCAAAATAATAACACCCAGAGGTTTTCATATTAATAGTCTAAACTTTTAATTTACTAATTGTAAATTTAGCTGTTGAAATGTGTTTTTAAATTGTAAATAACTTATAAATTGCTGTAGTAATTACCTGGGTTGTTATTAAAGGATAATATTCTAGTTATGCTTAAAAGCTATTGAAATACTTTGCCAATATAAATTTATACATAATAAAAGAATCAGGATATTTTTCTTACTAATTTACTGAGATAATAACATACTGGTTGCAAATTTTTCCTGACAAAAATTATATAAGGGAGTTAAGCCAGAGTATTATGTATAAAATAAATGCATTTAGACTATATAAACTTAATAATTTGCTTTCATAAAGCTTAAAAGCAGTTTACTTTTTTCTTTTTTTTTTTAAAGCTTAAAAAATTATATTTGTTATTCATTATACTAATAACTAACCTTAATTTTTTTTTTTAATAACTTGTTTTTTACCTGTTTGAACTCAAGAATATAATATGTTTTTTTTTGTTACAATCATTAAAAATGGCATGACATAAAGCAAGCTTAAAACAAGCAAATATTACAAAAAAGAAAAAAAGAAGTTGGAATTGCCGAGAAAATTGGCAATTATTACATATTTAGAAAAAAACTCCAATGCTAGCAAATGAAACACTGCAGAAAAATTTGGCATAGAACCAAAACAATTACATGAATGGATTAAAAAGCAAGATGAATTAATGCATTCACTATCACATCTTAAACAATTAAATACTAGAAGAAGTGCTAAGTATCTATTATTGGAAACTGATCTAATCTCTTGAATAAAATCTCTATGTGCAAAGCAAAAATTAGTTTCTCATTATATAGCCAAAACTAAAGCTTAACAGTTAGCCAAACAATTGCACTTTATTTCAATTTATCCAAATATTAATGAATGTAAATGAAATGACAAATGGCTAGATGGTTTTATGCACCATCATAAACTAAGCAATCATTGTTGAACTACAGTTGCACAAAAATTACCAAAGATCTTGAACCAAAAATAAATGAATTCTTAAATTTTGTACTTTATTAATGCATACAATATGATTATCCTCTTGCTCTTATAAGTAATATGGATGAAGTTCCACTATTATTTAATATGCTCTCAAATCATACTTTTGATATAACTAGCGCAAAAACAGTTAGAATTCGTACAACTAGTCATAAAAAGTCTAATTTTACTGTAATGCTTGGTTGTATAGCTAATGGAGTAAAGCTACTACCAGTAATTATTTTTAAGTTAATAAATGTACCATGGCAAGAATTTCTACCTGGAGTTATTATCCGAACAAATTCTGAAGGATATATAAATTCGAATGAGATGATTTGGTGGATAGAAAATATTTGGAACCAATGTGCACCTTTGTCTGTTAATCCTTGCTCATTGTTAGTTTTAAATAGTTTCTTGGATCATATTCAAGATGCAATTAAATGTCGATTTTGTGAAAAAAATACAAATATTGCAATCATTCCAGGGGATTAACTAGTAAATTACAACCATTAGACGTTTATATTAATAGATTATTTAAAAATAAGGTATTTATTTATTATTATAAAATTTAATATGAATTTTAAAGCATTTTTTTTTTTTAGTCGATTATGATGATTAGGATTTAGAATTAAAGCTTTTAATAAAAAAGTATATATGAATTTTAATTTGTTGCTAATCATAATGAAATCAGATTAAAACCTACCCGCTTATACTCTTTTATTAAAAATTCCAACTTTAATCAAATTCTCAAAAAAAGCCTAAAAATGCTTTTTAAAAAAACCAAAAAATTTTAATATTAAAAAATTTAATTTATTTAGTATCGCAAATATTACAATGAATAGATGGCAAAGAAATTCAGCAACTAACTCCTTCAGACCACATTCAGCACCCTTCATATAGCTTAGTAGCTAATTGAGTAAATACAGCATAGAATCAAGTTAATACTAACCTTATCATATGATCATTCAAATGTTGTGGTATTTCTGGTGTACAAGCTGGATCAGAGAATAAAAGAATTTTTAATTATAATTGGGTAGAAAATTCAGAAAATCAATGCAAACATGAAAATTATATATTTGAGATGAATAATAGTAAAAGTCACAAAAATAATTTGGATACAAATAGTAATAGTAAGTATGTTTATAATTAATGAATATGCTTTAAATGTTTTGATTTAACAAACTTAGAGTCAATTCATAATAATAAAGATTATTTGGACTTAGATAACTTTGGTAAGTATATTTGTTATTAGATAAAATTGGTTATAAATACCTTAATTTAAAGATAAAAATATTTATAATTTAACAAGATGATGAAAGTGTCTATGATTTAACGCAAGATAATGAAAGTATCTATGATTTAACTCAAGATAACGAAAGTTCATATGATCTAAGTCAAGAAAATGAAAATATTTATAAATTAACTCAAGATAATAATTTAATTCAAAGTGCTAGTTTAGATATAGGTAAAAATTATAATAAAGTAGATCTGTTTTATGAAAATGAAACTGTCAAATATGAAAATATTTGGGAATATTTGATAGCATTTTAATATGCAAATAAAGGAAGTCATCATGACTTTTTAATATCAAATTTTAGAGAATTTATATAGTAAATTAAGATAACGCATGAATATATTAATAAATTTACAAAACACTGCACTATCTAAATATAATAATTTAAATAATTTTTAGTTGTATAATTTATTTATGAATCGAATATTAAATAATTTAAATAATAAATTAATGACAGGACATGTGGATTTATTTGCAAGAAATCTTATTAAAAATCAACATTCTATTATAGCTCTAGAATATATCGATATGATTAATTTTAGCTTTCTATATAAAGTATCCCCAGTAATAAAGACCCAGATTTTTTACATTTAACCAAATGAATAACCTGTGATATAGACCCAAGTACATTAGTAGGGGTCTACTATCATGGGGAGTCTTTTATATGGCCATTTATGGTAGGTGCCATATGGGTAACCGGATAAAGCCAGTAGTGTAAAATTAGATAGTATATAGTACTAGTAATAATCGATCCTAAATGTAACTGTAAAATTTGTACTATATCAAATTAAAGCTAATAAACCAACTGGAATTGTCGCCAAAGTTCAAAAAAAAAAAAAAAAAAAAAAAGGAAAAAAGACTTCATAAAAGAAAGTATTTTAAAAGAAATCTTAAAGAAAAAGAAAAAGAAAAGAAATTGCATAAAAAAAATAATTAACTATATAAAATCTTTTACTAAACATTAATAAAACAAAGATAAAATATATATGCAGAAAATTCAAAGACTTAAATATTATATAAGTTAAAAGATTGTTATATAAGGCATTGGTAATAATAGTAGTAAGCTTAAAGAAAGAAGAAATGTTTTATAAATATTGCTACTTGGCAATAACAAATTAGTATATATAACAGAAAAGAATAATGATTATAATCAAAAAAATAAACAAAAACAATATATAGCTAAACTGCTAAACATTTTAAGAGAAGACTCAAAAGTGCCTCTGCTACAATGTTTAAAAACAAAAATACAAAAGCAGTATACATTCCATGTAATAGAAATGATAACTAAAAAAAGTTTGTAATAATTACCTTTGCAAATACTCAAGTAGCAAAAAAGCTTAAACAACATCAATATGATATAACAACTACCAAGTAAGTTAAAAAAACTCTAAAAGAAAGAAAGTTTAAGAAAGAAAAAAGTTAAGAAGCAAAAAACAAGAAAGGTCAAAAATAGATAGTAAAAGACAAGGCAGATGTAACATATAGGCAATAAAGATTAAGTAGAGAAGTTTGTCAAAAAATAGAAGAAATAAAGATGTATCAAAATCAGAAATATAAAACAAGAAAAACTAAGTAGAAGATATATCAAAATAGGCCTAGACTCTCAAATACAAAATATAGAAGAATGGTTAAAAGACAGAAATGTTAATATAAAAGTAAAGAAAAAGTTCTAAAAAAAAAGAAAATCAAACTAGTTCTGTAAGACAAAATAAAAGTAGTATAAATAGAAGATGTCTTATACCAAAATTTGAACAGACTAGACAAAATAGAGGAAAAGCAGTTGGGTACAAAGAGTAGTTTAGTTGATCACTTTTAAGAGTATTACAATTAAAGCTATAAATGCAAATTAGGGAATTAGTAACTTCTTGTAAAATAAAAAAAGAGTTTTTGAAGAAAGAAAAGAAAAATGTCTTCTAATTTAAAAGAAAAAATAAGTAAAAAAAGAAAAAAATATATAAAAGGCATAGAAAGTATATATTAAAAGTTAAAAGAAAAGTAAAAAAAAAAAAGAAAAAAAATTAAAATAGTATATTATAACATTAACAAACTAAAAATTAAAAGTTAAAAACTTGAAAATTTGCTTAACTAAACAGAAGAAGAAGAGATTGCAATATTAGAAATTACAGAAACAAATCTTACAAAAAGAAAATTTTTAACACATGCTACAAACAAAAAATATATAATATATTGGGTAAGTGCAGTAGAAGATAAAAAAAAAAGATCAGGCATAGAGATTTTAATAGAAGAACAATAAAAAAAACATATAGAGACAGTTAAAAAAATAAATATATATATAATAGAGATCATACTATACTTCAAACAATTGAAGCTAGTAGTAATAAGAATTTATATACTACCAAATAACAAAAAAATCAAAAAAAACATTCAACAAAAGATTATAAAAATAGTTTTAAAAAAAAAGATAAATGCAAATTATTATTATAAGTGATTTTAACTATATATTAAACAATATATTAGATAAACAAAATCTACAAACAGCAAACTTTAAAAGATTATTAATCTTTAATTAAACAAAAAAACAAGAGTTTTATAATACACCCTATGAAAAAATATATATAAAAATAATAAAGAAAATTACAAATAATATACAGAATATAATATATATATACTGAATAATAAGTTTATATAATAAAT